ACCTGCCCGCCGGGCACTTCCCTGGCACTTGCACCCCTTGACCGGCCTCCTCTACTCGCCGCTCGATACCACAAGAAAGAGCCCCGACCACCACCCCTTCAGGGAGGATGGCTTCGGCTGTAAGCTCCCCCTCCGGAGCCCCGAACAGGTGCGAGAGAGCGTCGGGCTTGATGTTCTTGGACTCTGGCCGGTACGAGAGGGTGAAGTTGAATCGGCCATTTGGACCCTGGCCGGTACGAGAGGGTGAAGTTGAACCGGCCAAAGAAAAGTGCCCAGCGGGCCTGACGCGAGCTCAGCCTCTTGGCCGAACGGATATATTCGAGATTCTTGTGATCCGTCCAGACCAAGAAGGGCTGCGCCGACCCCTCCAACCAGTGACGCCACTCCCCTAAGGCCAATCTCACCGCCAACAGTTCTCTATTGCCAATGTCGTAGTTACGTTCTGCAGGGCTGAGACGGCGAGAGAAGAACGCACATGGGTGCACCTTCCCGTCGCGTAGGGATCTCTGAGACAGAACTGCGCCAACCCCGGCGTCCGATGCGTCAACCTCGACAATGAACTGGGACTCAGGATCTGGAACCAACAGAACAGGTGCAGAGACAAAACGGGACTTTAATGTGTCAAAGGCTACCTGAGCATCCTGGTTCCACCTGAAGGACACCTTGGTGGAGGTTAATGCCGTGAGCGGAGCAGCGATCTGACCAAAATTCCTGATGTATCGCCGATAGAAGTTGGCAAAACCCAGGAAACGCTGCAGGGCCTTACGGGAGTCGGGGACTGGCCACTTGGCGACAGCTTCTATCTTAGCTGGGTCTGGTTTAATCCCCCTGGTAGAGATGATATGGCCAAGGAACGTAACAGACTCGGCGTGGAATTCGCACTTCTCCGCCTTGACGAACAACTGGTTCTCTAATAGGCGCTGGAGGACCCGTCTAACGTGCTGAGTGTGTAAGTGGAGAGAAGGGGAGAAAATCAGAATATCATCCAAATACACAAAGACGAACTGATTAATCATGTCACCCAGAACGCTATTGACGAGACCCTGGAAAACGGCCGGAGCATTGGTCAGACCAAACGGAAGAACCAGATACTCGTAGTGTCCCGAGGGGGTGTTGAATGCCGTCTTCCACTCATCCCCCTCCCGCATGCGCACCAGATGGTAGGCGTTGCGGAGGTCTAATTTGGTGAAGACCTGAGCTCCCTGCAATAATTCAAAAGCAGAAGACATTAGAGGTAGGGGGTACCTGTTCTTTACTGTAATGTCATTCAAACCTCTGTAATC